CAGCATTAATTTAACTTCTTAAATAATTTTTGGTTTTATTCTTATAACATGTTCAAAAAAGGACAAATTACCGAGATTGAGTTGAATTACATGGCCTAACGTCAGATTTGACATGTGAAAGTTTTTCCTCCTGCACTTTCAAGGTGTATTTCTGATATATTTCTGTTCTGAGATATTTCTGTAATCCAGGGAGCTCACACATCAAGTATTACTATTAGTTTTGTATTAAATGGACACAATTCTTTTAGGCACAAATTTTTTTCCATTCTTCCTTTTGTCGGACATTAACCAAAAAAAAAATATTTTCTCCACAGTTAATAATACATGCAGACCTATAAAATCTCCTTAATTTTTCCACGGAAGTCCTAAATTTGTCATCTAAATAAGGATAAACATGAATATACATATTTACTGAATTTTTATATGTTGTACACTTGGTGAGTGAGCTGACAATTCTGGCTTTTAAATTTTATGATCTTTAAAGTGAAATAAAGCAGGAAAAATGTGAAAACTAAAACAAACTCTTCTCTTTGCCTTAAATATGAATTAAGAACACTTTCTACTCTCTTGATTAGACCACAGCCTAATTAACATTCTTTAACTGCTGTTAAGTCTTGACTTCATGCCCAGCCTCTGTCCCCTGCCATTCTTTTGTACCAGTCCAGTATCAGCGTGTCATTAATTACGTTTTTTTTTTTAATTATTTTTTCCCTGGGCCCAGTTTTTTTCATTCTGTGTCCAGTTTTGGTTTACAGCCATTTCCAACTTTATATATAACACCAGTATTTCAGCTCATAAAACTGGCAGATGTTCCAAACAATCAAGAATATGCTTAAAGCCAAACTTCATATTGCATTATTCACAGAATTAGTCAAACTGATATTTTAAGCTATAGGAAAATTTGGTCATCCTAAATCTCATTCAAAGAGGTTGTAACAGTGATCAGTAATTTAGGGAATTCGAGTCTGTGCTGATTCCCGGCAGGTAAAGTGTTTCACAGTGTGAAAATAAGGTGGACGTACACTGCTTAGCAGGATTTCTGACATGCTAGACAAATAAATTGGTGCATATGCTCTGAATTCAGTATCCTTCTACATATGGACATGTTGAATACATAGAAAAGGAGGTGAAGGGGCCATAGCATATGTAAAAAAAAATATTTACAGTTAGTATTCTGATCTAGATCTTTAAAGAAAAAAGCATGAGAAAGTTTGTCGTATTTTTTAATGGCAGCAAGTCTTGGCATTTAGCAAACCACAAGCTCCAAAATGCACAGTAATGATACTATAGGGTGTCTATTGTATAGTACAATCTGTTAGAATAAGAGAAATAATAAAAAAAAAAAAAAAAGAAAAAGAAAAAAAAAGTGATCAAAAATTACCTGTGGAACTGCTCACATATTACGCAATTCACTACCCATGTTGCTCATGGGAGATTTTAACAATACAGATCTGCATCGAATGAGGCAAACAGCCTGACATTGATGAAAGTGGCCGCCTGTTGCTTGCAAGAAAATTCTGTGATCCACAAAACAAAAACTCCAGCCCCAGGAGAATCTGTCTTGAAAGCAATACTTTATTTATGAATAATCCAGAACTAAGGAATGGAGATAATCATAACTGATGGCTTAAATTCACCACAGAGGCAAGAAATTGGTTTAGGGAGTGGAAGAACAGAAGGAGATGAAGCTGCATCAAGGAAATGCTGAGGCCTTGAGAAATGTGGGAAGTAATATTGAATTAATACAGTTTAGATTTTGCATTCAGAGGATGGGGAAAGGTGCTCTCTTCCCATTTCATGTTCACTAAACATTTGCAGGCAAATTCTGTGGAGACTAGATACCTTGTGAAGTATCTCTTAAAAGGGTGATAATCTTATTCCAGAGCGGTTGAGTATGTTTTGAGGCTGTTGGTGGTCTCACACTCCACTTTGATTTTGTCTCATCCTCTGCTTTCCAGCAATGAGAAGCAGCTGGTTTAAATATCATTTATGCCTGAATTGCTAAAGACAGCTGTATCAAGGATGGAAGGAAGGAAGGAAGAAGGAAAGGAAGAAGAAAAGGAAGAAAGAGGAAGGAAAGAAAGAAGGAAAAAAGAAAGAAAGAAAAAAGAAAGAAGGGAAGGAAGAAGGAAAAGAAGGAAGGAAAGGAAGGAAAGGAAGAAGGAAAAGCAGAAGGAAAGGAACTGAGAAAGGAAGAAAGAAAGAAAGGAAGAAGGAAAGGAAGAGAAAAAGGAAGGAAGGAAGAAGGAAAGGAAGAAAGAAAGGAAGAAGGAAAGGAAGAAAGAAAGGAAGAAGGAAAGGAAGAAGGAAAGGAAGCAAGAAAGGAAGAACAAAAGTAAGAGAGAAAGAAGGAAAGGAGGAAAGAAAGAAAGAAAGAAGGAAAGCAATCAAGCAATCAAGCCTTTCCCTCTTATTTCAGGTCCTAGGACTAGTCAGAAGGATTTTGGGTGGGTATCCCACAAGGGTCTCAGGACCTGAGTGTAACAAAATGGTTGTCTCACACCTGAAAAGTGCCACATGTGAGATAAAATGGAAGGGAACTATTTAGAAGATTGACTAAGAGGAATTAAATGGTGGAAGTAAAGCGTAGAATTAAAAAAAAAAAAAAAAGAGGGAAAACTTAGCAGGAGCACTACGAAAAGCAGTCTGGCATAAACTACTGGAAGTTATTGAGTAACATGACAAGTCATTATTACAAAGCACTGGTATTTGGGCTATACTAAACTAGATAAACTATTAGAAAACGCAGTTTGCACGATGCATTTTTTCCTTTTTTAGTCTAGATGTAGGATGTTTTACATATTCTATGATGTGGTTTAGCAATCTTTGAGCTTTGTGAGGTAATTCTGAGACAGCAGTCAGTAACTTACATAATTAGCATAACAGTATTTAATTATATGATTACTGTAAATACGTGTAAAACTCTAATGGCGTAATTATAATGTGTAATAACTACTTGTAATTACATAATTAAGTATGATGACATATCCAAATTTCTAATGGGAAAAAATAGGATATTTACAAGCCCTGACCTAGAAAATGGTATAGTGCACAATTATAGTGGTGGTATAAACCCACAAGTCTCCCTTTTTAATGCTAGTTGTGCTAAAACTACCCTAAAAGTAGATGAATTAACTAAAAGTTTGGAAGCCGTGCCATAGTGTTAGTGCAAATGTGTTAACTTTCCTGAACATGGGCAGCTCAGTGATTACAATCCGTACAAACAGGTGTTTGCATGTGGTAGACAATGGAGTACTGGGTCACAGTTGCCAGCATTTCTCTACAGAATTATCTCCAGAAAGACCATTTCATTATTTATATTGTATATACATATATATTTGTGCCAGTATAATTCTTCCAAAGTATGACTCAGAAAGACAGATTGTAGGTAGCTGTGTTTTGAATTACAAAATCAGTATTTTGAGTTGATATTTTCAATTACAGAAAATTTTCTCTCAAAAATAGAAATATGTAGACATACATTTTGTAATTCAATAGCAGAATTCTTTCACAGTTTCAATAAACTTGAAATTTCTACTTTTTGTACATATACACTTTCTGTCATATTCTCTCAAAACCAGGAATATGTGTGTCTATATATATATATATGCACACACACAAAAAAAACCAAATTCAGTATAATATATAAGATATGAAACTTCACGCATGAAATTATTTTTACATATACATCTATAAAAAAATTAGAAATATAAAATAATAGTTGATGGTTCAGGAAATGCAATGATCACTTCAAGTAACAGCTCTGCCTTCCTCATTTCTAGCATAACAGGAGATTGGATTTATGTGATCTATTATCTGAGCAACGTTCACAATGCAGCCAAAATATAGAAGGGATAAACTCTGAAGAGATGGAAGAGATTCCTGGTAGAATTCCAAATGGCAATTCAGTTGCACCTAGTAAGGAAATGCATGAATTGCTTCAACAGCAAATTTTGAAGAAAACTTTAATAGATGTTCATTTTTTTTACAAACTCTTTCAGGTAGGTATAGAGATCCCTAAACTACTCAAAGCAAATCCTAATCTTCTGTTTCTCTCTAGGACTACGTACACATTATGTTCAGGGCCTCAAATATTTTTTTTTTCTGTGGTATGCAAATCTGGGAATTCACTGAAGCTACTTAAAAAAAAGCTCACATCTTGCCATTTGTGGTTATTTCTCCATCCTGTTTTTGTCTCCCTTTTCTCCCATACATCCACAAAGTGAACACAGGAAAAGGAATCATATTTTTCAGTTTTGTTGTGGTTTAATTTGTTTAGTATTCAACTTCTGACATTTTTTTCTTCTTTACAGTATTTCAAACTCAAGGGCCTCTAATATCTGTTATTAACTTTTAAGGTATATAACATTTCATTCCATGGCAGTTTATTCTACGTCTGGTATTTCTGGTCTTCGAGATTACCTAGTCTATCACACATGAAGAACTTTGTAGTAACAACTTTAGGAATCAGACCTTTATGGTGCATTGAGAGTCAATGCTACTGTAAAATCATATGAGATTTGTCCCAGGACAGATCCTGGAGGAACTCCATAAATGATTTCTCCATAAATGATTTCTCCATAAATGAATGGTCCAAATTTCAGAGGCTATAGACATGTCAGAAAAAATAATTTATATTTTGGCCCTGTTCTTACATTTGTTGATATCTGCTAATAATTACTGTTGAAACCAGGATATTTGGTGAATCCCTTGTTGGAATTTTTCTACTTTACACTATTTAATCCTTCTTCTTTGGCTTTAGATAATGATTTTTCATTTTGCAAATATTTCCACAATATCAGATGCTTTACTTGAATTCAGATTAGGTCTCTGAATTTCTCCCCATTTTGAAAAAACCAAGATGGCTATTTTGAGTATTCTGGATTTGTAATGTAGAGAAATATTTCCATATTTCCATAGTATATTAAAGTCTTTTTCTGCAAAAATAAAATATTATATTTAATTTTATTACATAGAATTTACAAACATGCTGTACTTACTCTGTTGACAGTTTCTTCCCATAAATTCACCTGGGCATTCACAGGAATAGTTGGCAACAAGATCTGTACAGATTCCGCCATTCTTGCAGGGTTCAGATTCACATTCATTGACATCTGCATAAGGTACATGGGATAATGTCAGCATTAACAGAGAAAAGGTAAAAATGGTAAGCACATGTTTGAAAGAACTAAAAAAGGAAGCTTTATTATGTCCCATTATACAATATAATTTAGTGTTTTGCTCAGGGATTTCCACTGTAACTGCCAAGAGGATATGAGGGCAAAGTCACAGTTTGGCCTTAAAAAGACAAACTTCAGTAGTTCTAATGGATTAATCAGTAGTGACCCCTCCAACTTCAAGAAGTGTAGCTACTTCTTTATCAACAGATGCCAATTAAGAATGTCTCTCAGTTCATCTTAATTCATTAAATGTGTAATTGACAAAGTTGTTTAACTGTCTAAAAAATTTCCTTTCTGTGCATGAGTTGGTGGGCAAATTGAAACTAATAACTCCATCTAGAAGCTTGCAAATTTCGTTAAGTTCAAAAGACAGAAAAGGTGGGTAATTTCACTTGAGTTTCTCTCTTCAAGCACACTTTGTGAAACACTGCGAGAATAACACTGTCCTGGTCTTTTCCAATGTAGTAAACTTGAAGTGTAATATAAGATTCTTTCAAATGTGTTATGGTATTTTTCAGTCACCATAAATAAGCAGAGTGAAGGATAATGCCGTATTATAAATAAAATCCTCAGTCTCTGCATTTATTCTGCATGGACTAGAAACAGGTTATAAGGATTTTATACATCATTGCCTCAAAGGGCTGCACTGTTGCTGTTAAACACTTGCAATATGGTAGATGATATGGTAAATACAGTAGATAATATAGTAGATACTAGGGTAAATCACTGGTGAGCGAAATGCCCTATGAATTGAAGTCATAATCCTTGTTGTTGTGTTGTTGTGTTGCTTCAGTCCTTAAAATGTAAATCAAGTTTGTGCTACACACACAAAACCTAAAGAAGATGTTAAAAAAATGTCTAAATCTTATGCATTTCAGCTTGTGCAGAAGAAGCAGAATTCAGTTGTGTCAACAAAGTTGCTTCATTTTTGGTAGTTTGAGCATGTAACGTTTGTACTTTCAATGTGATTTTTTTTCATTTACTAATCATGTATGTTCAAAACCTCAATGTTTTAATACACTCGATAGGATAAGCTTCCCATTTCGGTGAACAGAAATGGAGAAACAGACCTTCAGCTAAATATGAAGGCTAGTTCCAATTGTTTGAACTGGAAAAAATTCAGATTTTTATACCAAAATTGATGATGGCAACTTATCTCTGAGCTTCTTTTTAGTCTCTGAATGTTTTACTATTTCTTGCTTATAAAGATATGATATTATGGCTTAATAAAAAATTAGAGTTAGCTGAATTTCTGTCAATTAAAAAGGAAGAAGAGAAGTAATAGCTTAGAGTGCAAGAAATAAAATCTGCCAAGGGAAATGACTGAAGAAGAGATCTGCTAAGTTCTAAATTAAATTCTTCATATGTATTTATAAAATTTAATAAGATTCTTCAGCTTCCTATTTGCCTTTTTAAGCAAAGCCCATTAGTCTTACATTTTTATTAGCTTATTAATAATTTTAATATAGGCTAATATATTTGTGGGGAAAAAAATATCAAGGTCACAGGGAACTAAAAAACATTACATGAACATATGAACTATCTCTTCCTTGGTGAGATACAGGTGGTAATTTATCCTCTTAAAAGCTTTTCTGTGTAAAGATAATATCTTATTGAGTTGTGGTTTTTTTTCCCCTAATTTGCATTTTGAAATATGTAGGAGAAAATACACTGGTTTCCAGAATATTTCATACTGTCTGTGTGGTGATGGAGAAAATAAAATGAACTTGAAGTACCAGTACTCTCAAAGTAATCCTCATATTTCATCCCCATGGAGCAACTAGCAATGATCAGTGGAGAAATATGGAAGTTTTCAGTTACTATCTTTGTTATTTGGCTCCAACAATGACTTTTTCCCAGTAACTTCAGAAACTTCAGCTCAATTAGTTCAAACAAATATGTCACAGAGAACTGCAGGCTCTGCACCGCCAGTGATCCAACAGCAACCCCTGCCAACCGTGATTAGAACTGCGCTAAAGGACAGAGAAGTATTCAGACTTTTTTTCTTTTGTTTGAAGGGGACTTTTTTTGGGGGTACAGGACTATTGCCTAGTTTTTTTGTGTGTTCTGTTACTGTTCTTGCCAACATACATATATCTTTTAATAAAGGGTTGTTATTTCTTCTGTTTTTTCCACATTTCCTCTATTAAAGCCCCTAATTTTGAATTTACAATTGCTGAGAGAGAGGAGTTTGGTCTGTCTCATAACTCATCCTCTTTAACAAATATTCCAGTCTCTTCAAACTGAGACACAAGGTTTGGTTTTAGTTCAGGGCAGATTCAGATCAGATTTTGAAGTGTTGTTCAGGTAAAAATCTTATACATTGCAGTAACTAAAACACAGAGAGCTATGTATTGCCAGAGAAATCAGAGTTCCTCAGAGGTAGCTAGGTAACAGAGAAATACTGAGTGAAATAGACTCATTAAGAGGTAAAGTCTTGATTTCTAAGTGGGATCCAGGTTAGATGAAAAGAACCCAAATCTCAAACAATTAGAAAAAAAATGAAAAAAAATTTAAAAAAGAAGGTAAAAGAAAACTCAAAAGAACTCCAAACTATAAACCCCCCACCCCCATGCCCAAACCCTCAAGATTTCTGTACAGAAGGTGGATTCTGAGATTGATTTGATGCAGGAATAAGGAAACATTGACCATTTTCTGAAAACAGATTGTTCCTTGAATAACAGCTTGAAGAGCTAAGAGAAGTGATTAGGAAGTAAAGGCTATGCTGAGGTTTCTTTTTATGCTGAAGAGGGTTAAATTTACATTTCCTGTCTCCTAAGATCAATCCATAACTACAAAGCCATTAAGGACACTTCTATCTGAGGCACAGCTGTGGTGCACCCTGAAACACAAATATACTGGCAGAAACTCGGAAAGTAACAGAGAACTTGGCTATATCACAAAGTGATTTGGAGAATCATCAAGAGGCAGATTTCTGTCCTTTTGTCTTCCTTTGATGGATTCTATATGTATATATATTTAATATATCCTCTAAGTATTTAATATAACATAAATAAAACCTACTACTGTACTTGCAAATGTAATATAATTAAAAATATTTAACACTAATTTTGGACTTTACCTACTCAATACAGTCATATGTGTTTTCCTGAAAAATTATCCCACATGGAATGAGCATATAAATTATTTAACTGTTATAATAAAACTTTTAACTTTTACTTACGGTCATTTAGGTTCTTCAGCAAGCTACTTGGTATAAACCTGACTTTTTATAATGAAGAGACCAATAAACTCAATTTACCCGCGTGGGTTTTTTTTCCAACACATCCTGTGTTTTGGCTGCAAATACTCAAGAGTGCCTTGTTCCTGTCCCCTGCTTGCTTGTCCTTTACTCAGCCCAAATTCCTGGTTCCTGCCATCTGGATGCTTGTTTCTGATCCAGGACTGCCTCTTGCAGTACAGACTTCTTGATGTTCCCTCCTGCTAACAAGCACGTTCTTTCCTTATTCTTTGATTTTGGTACTCTTTTTGGCTTCTGGATCACACATGGTCTGCTTCTCTCAGCTCTTACTCATGTTTTAAGTCAGTCCTCTATAGGATAGAAGGTTGACCCATCATACATACAGCTTTTAACTTCAGGAGTCCTTACTGGAAGTCAGCATGGCCATTAAAAAAAACAGTGGTTAAACATAACTTTTATGCTTTACTAACATTGCAAATGTTTTTTTCCCCAAAATAAAGTCAATTAAGCATATAGAATACCTCTGTATCTTAACTGGCTTCTGTGGGGACCCACAACCGTACACTGGATAAAGATCAAGTCATAATCTGAGAAATTTGACACTCCCTCCCATCCCCCAAATTTTAATATTCTTAAAGAAAACCAGAAAACTTCCCTATCTGGTTCTACTTCAAAATAAATTTGTTGATAACTAACAATATGTTCAAATATCTCTGGAAACTGGTGTGGTATAAGGTGGATAAACAGGTGGCATGCAATAATTATCTTTTAGTTGGAGTTTAGTCCAGACTACTCTCATAGATGCTTGATGGCTCTCAATTGATTTTAAAAAAGCATTCTAGCTGTTTTTTCTTTATTATATATTGATCCTCAATGATTTAAGTTATTTACATGAATAAGTCCTATCTCAGTAAGGTCACACAAAATGTTGCTTGCAGAACTTTGTAATATCCTGTTATTATTTAAACTTGAGCTTTCAGACAGTCAAATTTTCCATTATTAATTTCCTATTAAATACCATGAAAGTCAGCTTACATACTATTTTTTTATTATTTGTACCAATTTTAATATTTTTATGAAACACATGATAAAGCTCCATTAAAAAATATAAACTATATTGGTTGTATTCTGAATCAAGAGAAACAACAAAATTTAATATGACTATCTTAAGAGTGAGCTACTCAGTGATATGAAAAAATTTGAAGGATTACAGCAATTCATGTATAGAAGGACATATCTTCTATAAGAGTAGGAGGATTCTGTTAAATTATTTACAAAACGAAAAAAACCATGAAAGCATTCTTTCTCATATCCTACAGATTATTAAACCCCATCTAAATTGTAAAGGTCTCCTAAAGGAGGTTAAACTTGGTGGTTTTTTCTCAAAAGATAATAAGTAAATAAATGTATTTAAACAGAATAAAAAATCATCAGAAAAAAATTCGCATGACAACCCTCAAATTTCTGACTAAAAGATATGGAAAATATAAGTAATTAACATGATAATTTATTTTACACTTTTAAAGTATAAGTTGAAGAAAGTTTCTAACCTTACTTCTGAATAAGTGTTTATCTGTAATTCGTGTAAACAATACTTCAGATTTATTGTTCCTTGATTTAACCAGGATTATAGAAAGATAAGCATTAGTATATTACTGGCTCAATCCCAACATGAAACATTTAAAAAGAACCGGGGCATATTTTTGTGAAATATGTGAAGTTAGTGCATATT